CATCAGAGGCAGCCGTAGAGGAAGCACTGCACCGTCACTGGGGCAGTGCAGAGGGAGCACTGTACTGTCGCTGGGGGAAGTACAGTGGGAGCGCTGCACCGTCACTGGGGCTGTGCAGAGGGACAGCTGCACTGTCAGAGGGGACAGTGCAGAGGGAGTGCTGCATTGTCAGAGGGGACAGTTGGACAACATAATGTCCAACTTCTGCAAAGAAAAATCTTTCAAATAACACTGCGATGGATGATCAGTTTCAGAAAAGAGCTATGTGAGGGTGACAAATCTGTCTCAGTAAAAATCTAATTCACCCTCACCTGATCTGGTCTTTTCAATGAAATTCCTGACTTTGAGCTAATCTGGAAATAAATGACAAAAACATTTGGATGTTAGCAATGTCACTGTTGCCAAATGCACTGGAATTAATTTACTGAGAAAATGCTAATGATGTAGTATTCAGGACCCTGTGAGATATCATGTTGCCTAAAAACGACACAGTTACTTGTTAACATGAGAAAGTACCATTATACCTGCTCACATTCATAATGGAACTAGTTACACACTTATGAATCTAACAACCCAAGAAGCCATTCAGCCCTCATCCCTATGCCATGGTGAAATTAATACAGTAGAAAAATGCTACGGATGTAGTTTTCTGGGAGTCAATGAGCTTACCATGTAGCCTGCTATGCCAGTGCCTATAGAATCACCTGTTTACATGGGAAATTCCCATTATTACAGTTCACATTCATCATTATGCTAGATACACAATCGTGAATCATTACGATAAGTGGGAACTTCAGGGAGACGAATGTGCCGTTACCAGGTAGCCTGCTCATCACAGCTGGTAACTGCATGGTTACCTGTTAGCTTGGGAAATTACCATGATTACTGTTCACACTGGTAATTATGCTAATCACACAAACATGAATCTTCCAGCCCAGGAAAGTTATTCAGCATTCAGCCCTCAACCATGGTGGCAGTGCAGAGGGGGCACTGCACTGTCAGTTGTGGAGGGGGGGAGGGGGGCGGTGCAAAGGGAATACCTGTGTCGGGGGGCACAGTGGCAAATGAGTGCTGCGCCATCAGGGGGTCAATGTTGAGACAGCAAATTCAGGCAGTCTGTACTGTCAGCATTACATGGTAAAAATTATGCAAGAGCTAAAATGTTGATGGCGTCACTGTCAGACAAGATGTTAAATCATGGTTCTGCCTGCCCTGCCTCAGTGTGCTGTCCTTGTTCTCATTTGGTCAAATTAACGTCCAAGTTCTGCAAAGAAAGATCATTCAAATAAAACTGTGATGAATGATCAGCTTCAAACAAGAGCTATGTGAGGGTCATAAATCTAACTTACCCTCACCTGATCTGGTCTTTTCAATGAAATTCCTGACTTTGAGCCAATCTGGAAACAAATCATAAAAACATCTGAATGTTAGTAATGTCACTGTTGCCAGATATACTAGAATTAATTTACTGAGAAAATGCTATAGTAGTAGTATTCAGCACCCCATCAGATACCAGGTTGCCTGCTGGTCACAGCTAAAAACTGCACGGTTACTTGTCAACATGACAAATTATATTTTCCCTGCTCACATTCATAATGAAGCTAGTTACACAATCATGAATCTAAGAACTCAAGAAGCCATTCAGCCCTCATCCATGTGCCATGGTGAAATTAATTTCCAGAAAAAATGCTAATTCTGCAATTTTTTTGGGATTCAGTGAGGTTGTCAGATACCATGTTGCCTGCTATTCACAGCCAGTATCTACAGAGTTACCTGTTTACATGGGAAATTCCCATTTTCACTGTTCACATTCCTCATTATGCTAGATACACGATCATGGATCATGGATCATTACGATAAATGGGAACTTAAGAAAGACGAATGTGAGGTTATCATGTAGAACATAGATCAGTACAGCACAGTACAGGCCCTCCAGCCCACGACGTTGTGCCGACCTATTATCCTACTAAGATCAAACTACCCTGCATATCCTCCATTTTACTATCATCCATGTGCCTATCCAAGAGTCGCTTAAAAGTCTCTAAAGTATCTGACTCCACTATCACTGCCAGCAGCGGATTCCACACGCCCCACTCTCTGTGTAAAGAATTTACTTCTGAGGTCTCCCCTATACCTTCCTCCAATCACCTTAATACTATGCCCCCTCATAATAGTCATTTCTGCCCTGTGAAAAAGTCTCTGGCTATCCACTCTATCTAATCCTGTCATCATCTTATACACCTCTATCAAGTCACCTCTCATCCTTCTTCGCTCCAATGAAAAAAAGCCCTAGCTCCCTCAACCTTTCCTCATAAGACCTGCCCTCCAGTCCAGCCAACATCCTGGTAATTTTTTTTAATTCATGAGTGGGATGAGGGCATCATTAGACAGCATTTATTGCCCATCCCTAATTGCCCAGAGGACAACCTCTCTAAAGCTTCCACATCCTTCCTATAATGAGGTGACCAGAACTGAACACAATATTCCAAGTGTAACCAGGGTTTTATAGAGCTGCATGGGGAACCTGATCAAACGCCTTGCTAAAATCCATATACACCACATCCACTGCTCTGCCTTCATTAATGTGTTTTGTCACATCCTCAAAGAATTCAATAAGGGTTGTGAAGCGTGACCTGCCCCTCACAAAGCCATGCTAACTGTTTCTAATCAAACTGTACTTTTCCAAATAATCATAAATACTATCTCCTCAGAATCCTCTCCAATAATTTTCCCACCACAGAAGTAAGATTACCCAGTCTGTAATTCCCAAGATTATCCCTATCCCCTTTTTTGAACAAGGGAATGACATGTGCCACCCTCCAATCATCTGGTACTACTCCAGTGGATAGTGAGGATGCAAAGATCATTGCCAAAGGGGCAGCAATCTCTTCCCTTGCTTACCGTAGTAACCTTGGGTATATCCCATCTGGCCCAGGGGACTTATCTATCATGTGTTTTTCAAAATTTCTAGCACATCCTCCTTCCTAACATCAACCTGTTTGAGCATATTTACATGTTTCATGCTGGCCTCACAAACGTCAAGGTCCCTCTCACAGGTGAATACTGAAACAAAATATTCATTAAGGACCTTCCCTACCACCTCTGACTCTGCGCACAAGTTCCCTCCACTATCCCTGATTGGCCCTACCCTCACTCTGGCCATCCTCTTGTTCCTCACATAAGCATAGAAGACCTTGGGGTTTTCCTTGATCCTACCCACCAAGGTTTTCTCATACCCAATTCTAGCTCCCCAAAGTCCATTCTTCAGTTCCTTCCTGGCTATCTTGTAGACCTCTAGAGCCCTGCTCATCACAGCTAGTAATTGCATAGTTACTTGTTAACATAGGAAATTACCATGATTATTGTTCATATTCACAAACATGCCAGTTACACAATCATGAATCTTCCAACCTAGGAAGCCATTCAACACTCACCCCTGTACCATGGTGGCAGTTCAGACCTGTCACCTTTGCCAAATACACTAGAATTAATCTACCGAGAAAATGCTGAAGATGTTATGTTCAGGACCCCATGAGATACCATGTTCACTGCAGGTCACAGCTAAAAACTGAGTGGTTACTTGTTAACATGGGTAATTACCATGATTACTGTTCACACTGGTAATAATGCTAATTACACAATCATGAAACTTCTAGCCCAAGAAGTCATTCAGTATTCACCCCGGTGCCATGGCAGCAGTGTCAGGGAGGACAGTGCAGTGGGAAAGCTGTATTGTCAGAAGGGTCAGTGCAGAGGGAGTGCTGCACCGTCAAGATACTGTAGAGAGGGAGGGCTGCACCATCAGGGGGCAGTATCCAGGGAGTGCTGCACACTTAGGGGATCAGCACTGAGACAGGAAATTCAGGGAGTCTGTACTGACAGCAATACACGGTTTTCAGAAGCACAATTAAGTGAGAGCTGAAACGTTGATATTGATAATGTTACCATTATCCCTGCTCACATTCACAATGGAGCTAGTTACAAGCTCATGAATCTAACAACCAAAGAAGCCATTGAGCCCTCATCCCTATGCCATGGTGAAATTAATTTACAGAGAAAATGCTAAGGATGCAGTTGTCACTGTCAGACAACATGTTAAATCATGGTTCTGTCTGCCTTTTCTCAGTGTGCTGACCTTGTTCTCATGTCGTCAACATAATGTCCAACTTCTTCAAAGAAAAATCTTTCAAATAACACTGATCAATTTCAAAAAAGAGCTTTGTGAGGGTAATGAATGTGTCTCAGTAAAAATCTAATTCACCCTCACCTGATCTGGTCTTTGCA